GTTATCTCATCATAGAAGGCAATTAGGTTAGTCAGGCACGACTTCCCCTTGGTGAATCCATGCTGACTGTTCCTGATCACTTTCCTCTCCTCTAAGTGTTTCATAATTGATTCCTTGAGGACCTGTTCCATGATTTTTCCAGGGACTGAGGTGAGGCTGACTAGCCTGTAGTTCCCCGGATCCTCCTTCTTCCCTTTTTTAAAGATTTCCCAGCCAGCAAAGAAAGGAGCCAGAGCCTGGCACAGGAGAAACCTTCCCCATCCCTGATGACCAAGAGCCAGCTAATACCAAGGGACATGAAGCAACACTCAGAGTCCCCCGTGGACTCAAGAGAACAGACAGCGTTATTGGTGCACTGTGCCTTAGAGAATAATTACATCCAGGGGCAGCTCTATGTATTTTGCCGCCCCAAGCATGGCAGTCAAGCAGCTTTCGGCGGCGTGCCTGCGGGAGGTCCGCTGGTCCCGCGGCTTTGGCATACCCGCCGCCGAATTGCCACCGAAGCCGCGGGACCGGCGGACCTCCCGCAGGCATGCCGCCGAAGGCTCCCTGACTGCCGCCCCCACAGCGACCAGTAGGCCGCCCCCTGTGGCTTGCCGCCCCAGGCATGCGCTTGGTGCACTGATGCCTGGAGCCGCCCCTGATTACATCATGTCAGAATGAGAATCTGCAGCTGTTATTTGATTATTTTTTCATTCTAACCCCCTTCCCCTCCCCCTCCAAATAAATAATCTGTCTCTATCCCTGCAGATGGTGGAAAGAGGCAGAACTGGAGCTGAGACTCTGGATCTTCAAAATACAGCTGTGTTTTCCAAACAGCTCCATACAGCATGTTTTGTTGTCTTCTCCTTGAAGCGTTACCCCCTGCAATGCTGCACACCATCTGCTTCTGGTTTCTCAATGCCCTCAATGCCAGACTGCAAATCACACCCTCAACAGCCCCTGGCTTTCTCACTGCAGCATTGCCCAGCCCATGCTTTGCAATAACATACACTACAGCAGAGGTTCTCAAACTGTGGTCCATGGACCACCAGTGGTTCACGCTCCATTCGGGTGGAGTTCCCTGTAAGGTGTGCGCCTGGGCGGCTGCACATGACAGAATGAAGGGCCACCCACCTAATTAGTGGAGCCGTGCAGGCATAAGCTGAGGTGATGGCCTTGGGGGGAATAGAGGGGAGGGGGCAGTGGGGTGAGAAGAGGGGGTGGGGGGAATATGGGACGTGCAGTTCTGCGATGGCCAGAGAAAGAGGCGACTTTCCCCAGCTTCAGGGCTGCGGCTGCCAGGGAGAGACGGCCCTTCTTCCCAGCCCCAGCTCTGTGGCTGCTGTGGCTGGGGAGAGACCCCCCTCCTTCCCAGCCCTGGCTCGGGAGCTCCCCGCCCACCCCCCGCCGCCCAGCTTACCTCCGCCCCTGCTCCGCCTCCTCCCCTGAGTGCTCCACGTGCCCGCTTTTCCCCCCTAGCTCCCAACGCTTGCACCGCAAAACAGCTGTTTCCCGCGGCTGCGGAGGAGGGGGAATGTGGTGCGCTCGGGGAAGAGGCGGGGCCGAGGCGGGGATTTGGGGAAGGGGTCCAATAGGGGCAGGGAGGGGGCGGAGTTGGGGCGGGGACTTTGGGGAAGGGGTTGGAATGGGGGCGAGGCAGGGATGGGGAAAGGGTGGAGTCGGGGCGGGGCCGGGGGCGGGGGGCGCGAGCACCCACCGGTGCCGGGGAAAGTTGGTGCCTACGTTCCCAGCCCCAGCTGTGGGGCTGCTGTGGCGGGGGAGAGAAGGAGAGACCCCCCCCCTCCTTCCCAGCCCCAGCTCAGGGGCTGCCACGGTGGGGGAGAGAGGGCACATCCCTTGGATTAGAAAGGTAAGACTACTGATATTAAAATATGAGTTGTGTGCTTTTATTTGTAGAACAAAAAAAGTTAATTATTAAGAGTTTTTATATATATATAGTTAGCTAACAGTACAAACAACATTTGGAAAGATCATTAAGTAGTCCACCAAGACCCTCAGCAATGTTCAAGTGGGCCACACACAAAAAAGTTTGAGAACAACTGTGCTACAGATTCCTCGCCACATCACTGCAAGGACTGCACACTGCCGATTCCTCACTGCAGCATGGACTCCACACTGCAGATTCCTCACTGAGCACTGCATGAACTGCACACTGCAGATTCCTCTCCCCAGCACCTCACTGAATTCACACTGCAGATTCCTCAGTGCATAACTGCATGGATTGCACACTGCAAATTCCTCTCTACACCACTGTGTGGACTGTTCTCAGCACACTGAATCTCAGAAATGCCTGCATTTATCAATACGAACTGGTAACGTGCATTGCTTGGATTTTTTAACAAGACAATGTTTACACCAACATTCAGCATCAGTGGCTTCCCAGGACATGAATGTCTGATTGCCTTTTAGACCAAAAATGTCTTTCCCAAGATGAGCCTATTATGATCTGCTGACTTCACAATGTTCCCCAATTCTAACGCTCTCAATCCAGAAGGAAAACACATCAGCAGGTTTGCGGCTATTCCAAACACACTCCAATCATGTTACTTAGGGTTATCATATTTCCACAATCAAAAAAGAGGACACTGGGGGGGGGAGGGGAGCCCTGCCCTAGCCCCGCCTCCGTCCCATCCACTCCCTCCCACTTCCCACCCCCTGACTGCCCCCCTCAGAACCCCAACCCCCCTGCTTCTTGTCCCCTGACTGCCCCCTGCTGAGAACCCCCCACCCTAACTGCCCCCCTAGGACACTATCTGTCCCCTGACTGCCCCGACCCTTATCCACTCTCATCGGTGGCAGGGTTGTAGAAATTTTGGTGGTGCCCAGAACCCCTCCACCACCTGCCTAAGGCTCTGGGAGGGGGGTTAGGTGGGGGGAGGAGGTCTGGGGTGCAGGTCCTGGGCTGGGGGTTAGGGTGCAGGAGGGGTGCAGGGTGCAGGCTCTGGGATAGAGTTTGGGTGCTGGGTGCAGGCTCCGGGCTGGGGCAGGGGGTGGGTGTGCAGGAGGGGGTGAGGGGTGCAGGCTCTGGGATGGAGTTTGGGGTGGGAGGCGGTGCAAAGGGAGGGGGTGCAGGCTTTGGGAGGGAGTTTGAGGGCGGGGGGTGGGAAGGGGGGAGGGGTTTGGGAGGGAGTTTGGGGATAGGAGGGGATGCAGGGGTGAGGGCTGTGGGTCAGAGGATGAAGGGTTCATGATGCAGGAGGGGGCTCAGGGATGGAGCAGAGGATTAGGGTGTGGGGGGATGAGGGCTCTGGCTGGGGCTGGGGATGAGGGGTTTATGATGCAGGAGGAGGCTAAGGGCTGGGGCAGAGGATTAGGATGCGGGAGGATGAGGGCTGAGGGGTTTGGGGCATTGGAGAGGCTCAGGGCTAGGGTGGAAGTGCAGGGTAAGGGCAGCCTGTCTTCCCATTAGTGGATGGGGGACACTAGGATCCGGGGGCAGCAGACAGCAGTTGCTGCTGGCTGGGGCAGTACAAGCAGGCAAGGGAGAGGCAGGCAGGGAGGGGGGGATCCACGGGGGGGAACGCGCGGAGCGGGGGTGGCAGGTGGAGGCCGGGGACCCATCCAACACTCCCCCGCTCCCTGACTGTCCCCCCCCCCGACTCCCCTTACCATTCTGGCTCCATGTGTAGGCAAAACACGCTGCCTGGTGGGTCGGTTTGTGTGTTACACGGGGCTGCAGACAGAGGGAGGGGGGAGCAGGGGAGGGCTCTGGCTGCTGGAGGCCAATGGGAGCGGCTCAATCGGCCCAGCCGCCCAATCAGCAGCCGCACTGTGCATGGACGGGAGGGAGGGAGGTGAGGGAGAAAAAAACCCCGGACATTTTAACCTTGTTACCAATTCCTCCCGGACGGCTATTTAGAGACGCAAAAGCCGGACACGTCCGGGGAAATACGGACGGATGGTAACCCTAATATTACTGTATAGCTTGTGCCCTACTGTGGAGACATGTAAGGACTTCTCCAAAGAGATAGGTTTGCCACCCATCCGGTTTTCACCTAGACAATCCGGGCTTTAGCTTGCCATTTGACAGGCCCTGATGTCTGGTTTTTTTTGATCTGTGAAAAAGGTGGCAACCCTAAATGGAAGGAAGGAGGCAGCACTGCAGCAGCAGCTGCCGCCACCTCATGTGGCTCGTGGAGGCACATGGTGCTCAGGGGCAGGAGCGAAGAGGGGCAGGGCCTTGGGGGGAAGAGGCAGGGCAGGAGGCAGGGCCTTGCGTGTCTGGTTACCAGCCAGTAGAAAGGTGGCAACCCTCCAAAGAGGGCCAGCATGGGGCTTGGAAAGGGAAGCCATCTCACATATCTGGGCCTGTAAATCCCAGAGCCAGCTCCCAGGGATAGGGCTGTGTCCAGGAGACAGGAGCTGGTCCCAGGCAGAGACTGGCTTGAGCCAAGACTCTGGATCCAAACACCCTGGAGCTGTGGGGAAGTTGCAGTTTACAGCTGAACACTATGACTGGCTTATCTCTAGCCCCAGAGCAGACCCAGCACAAGATCATTAGTGCAATCAGCTTCTGTTAAACAATGCACCTGGCACCTGTTTTTTTTTTTTTTTTTTAAATGGAGATATCCTATCTCATAGAGCTGGAAGGAAGCCTGAAAGGTCATTGAGTCCAGCCCCCTGCCTTCACTAGCAGGACCAAGTACTGATTTTGCCCCCGATCCCTAAGTGGCCCCCTCAAGGATTGAACTCACAACCCTGGGTTTAGCAGGCCAATGCACAAACCACTGAGCTATCCCTCCCCACATTTTCCAGATGGACACGGGGTTGCCTTGAGTGATCTCCTCTGGCCAATGCCTGGAACTGCTCCTTTATGCTACTCCATGGTCCACGAGGTGGGTTCTAGTCCCATCCCACAACACTTTTGCTCTACATTAATGAATTAGAGCCTGATCCTGCCCACACCAGTGGCAAAGGGTTGGGCCCTAAGCTGGCATTATACTCCTGTTTGGGGCATACGGTAGCCTGGGGAGATCATACGGGGGGAGGAGGCTCACATCCTTCAGGAAATCCACCATCTTCAGATACAGATAATAAATCTTTTCACCAGTCCTGATTTTCATCAGCATTTTCTCTATGTTATTCTCCAGCTGACGAATCACCTGCAACAGAGAAGGATCTTGTGTTGCTTCGCTGGGCTGCCTGGGACATGAGAATGCTCCTGGGGACCAGATGGGCCGACTCAGAGCCCCGGGGCTGGCTGGCTAGGGCTCCAGAGCCCTCAGGAACGGGGAGGGCCAATTAGTTTGGTGCTCCAGTAGCTTTATATTCATTTAAAATCTCTTTTTGACACAGCCCCGGGATAGGATAGGATTCTTCCAAGTTGCATTGCCCTTAGCCATGGATTTGAAGCCCAGCATCCTCCCCATAACAGGCCACTGACTGTGTGAGCTCCTTTCTTCTGGCGAGTACAGGGGACGGGAGGGACGCTGATAATGGATTCCAGCTAGGGGTGGCGGTGGGAAGGCCATGTGCTGCTGGTGTACAGAGCAGGGCAGCTAGCCTGGGAACTCCTGGGTCCATGAGCCCAGGAAATGGGGTTTCAGGGTTTCAGACCTGCCTCTCATCTGCTCTCTTTGCTGCTCCTGCCCAGTAGCTTTAGTAGTTTGGTTTCTACTGGGCCCAGGTTCTCTTCCGCTGCACATCTTTGGGTACTAGGGGTGCAGTGGAAGGAGTGGGGTCAGTCTCGGCAGGCAGGGAAGGTCTGGGATCACTCTGCGGCCACCCCTCTGGTTGAACTAGAATTGAAGATGGACTCCTCAGAGGGTTCCTCATCCAGGCCTCTACAGCTGGAACAAGGTCCCTGTGATGTGGGGCCTTCAGGGTGCAGAAGTGCAAGTGAGCACACAGGTGCATGTATGGGCCGAGTATGCACATGCATGAGTGTGCTTGCATGGGAAGGACATGGGGACTGTCCAGAGTGAACCCTCATCCAAAACAAGCCACATCTTGGGCTGGTTCCAGAGATGCCCAGGCCCCTGCAGGTCCAGCTGAAGTCAGTTGGACCAGCAAGTTCTCAGCCCTTGCCGGGACCTGGCCCATTGCTATGACCACAGATTTCTGGCATGCACAATCTTCTGCTGGAGCTGAGCCCTTGTCACCTGCAGCTGTATCTGGCCCTGTCTGTCTGCTCCTTCCATGTCTGTCAGGTGTTGCAGCTTTCTCTGCAGCCCCTCCAGCATCCCGCCCCGCCTCTTCACCTCGTACAGCAGCACATTGTGCACGTTCATCTTGTCAAAGATGTAGTTTTGCAGCTTCTCTCGGGCAGCCTGAAAGAGACACAGTGGGTGGGCTCACCCACAAGCAGCCTGCAGAGGGTTTGGCCCCAAGTGAGCTTCTGAACCACTTCACCCTCAGCCAGCCCAAAGGCAGCCTTGCGATAGGCAGAGCCCCAAGGGAGGAGAGCCAGGGATGAGGTGATGGCCAGGATAGCTGCTGATTGTGCATGGTAGGTGCCCAGATACCACAGTGACAGGCAGCAGAATAAGCCCTAAGATAGATGTCAGACAGAGCCTCGAGCTGGAGTCCTGTGAGGTGCAGGCTGGGAGATCTGGGCTCTGGGGTGTGAGTTTGGCCCAGTGTTAAGAGTGGGACCCGTCACTGGAGTCCATGCAAGCTGTGCTGACACACCATGCAGGGGCTCTTTGCAAAATGCAGAACTGGGTCTGAAAGTCATAGAATATCAGGGTTGGAAGAGACCTCTTGAGGTCATCTAGTCCAACCCCCTGCTCAAAGCAGGACCAATCCCCAACTATTTTTTTTGCCCCAGATCCCTAAATGGCCCCCCCAAGGATTGAGCTCACAACCCCAAGTTTAGCAGGCCAATGCACAAACCACTGAGCTAGCCCTTCCCCATAAACTCAATAAAAGAGTCTGATGCTCTAATCCCACGAAAGCCTGGAACTCAGTAGCACATGCCTGTGCCCACAGAGCCCCCCTCCTTTCCCTGGTGCTGCTCCTGCTGAAGGACAACAGGGCCACTGCAGCTGGAAGCAACCCCTGATCTGCCAGCAGCGAAGGGCCATGCTGCTCCCATATTAACCTCTGGCATGTCCAGAATCCAGCAGGAAGGGAAGGTCCCTAGCTAGGGTGGAGACAGCACTGGGGCAGTTCTTCACAGTGATGAGCCTTCGAACTGCTAGTCGCTGTGTGACTGGCAGGAACACATTGTAACTGAGGGGAGCCACATGAACCTTCTCTGGGGTCTCTGCTGCACACTGCCACTGTTCAGATCTTCTCTGTGACCACAGCACAGACCCTCCTGCTCCAGAAACAAAGGCCCTGCCAGCTGAGCTAGAGGAGAATCTCCAGTAACTGTTAGCAGTATAGGATCTGTGGCACACAGCCGAGCAGTTCTGATTCCATCCAGCACAGGGTGGTGGGACACACACACGCACACTCCCCAGCTCACTACAGTACAGACCCCCGGAGCAGAGGTTTGCTGACGTATCACGGAGAGGGGCAATTTCCTTTATGGCCTCCTCCCGCCCTCCCACACCCGTTTTCTCTGCTCTGTCGCTGGGCAGTAAATGCCAGAGATTGGGTTTGTGCTTTGCCAATTACCTCCACGGTGCTCCTGGCTAAATGCATCTTCAAGTGCTTTTGATCCCAGCATGCCTGGGAAATCGTCACCTGGTCGTACTGTGGGCAGGAGAGAAGCAGAGAGAAACTTGGGATCAAAGTTCTACTACTAATTATCTGTGAGTGCATCTGCACACAGTAATTGTTAATGCATTATTCCCAGTCAAGGGCTGACCGCCTCCCAGCCCCCAGCTACCAGAGCATCCTCATCTGCCGATGGCTGAAAGCAAGGCAGGGTGAAGCGAAGCTGTTTGCACATTTTGGGGGCCTCCATTTTTGGATTCCCTTCCTGAGCCATCTAGAACCTGCCTTGCAGAGGGGCTGAACTTCCACGCCCCCGGCTGACTAGCGTGGGTGCTCTCAGCGTTCAGGGCCTCTAGTCCATGAGGAAACAGCCCTGCCCCACGGAGCTCAAACTGCACTGCAGAGCCAGTGGGAGAAGCTGAGACCCTGGGAGCACACAAGGGTCACTGCTGGGGGAGGTCGGCATGGGGGCAGGGGGCCTGGAAGGCAACACAAGGGTGATGGGGAGAAGGATCCAAAGGGGGCAAGGAGGGAGGCAAGCAGGAGGAGAGCTGGGCTGGGCCTCCCTGGGAGAAGCAGCCTGCCTCTGCTGGGGGGCACAGTGGGGGCAGTGCCCGGAGCTGGGGAAGTGAGTGACATGGGCAGAATGGGGGTTAATAGCAGCCCTGGCTGGGCAGCGAGGCAGTTGAGGGAGTCCAGCGGAGAGATGCCCAAGGCTGGGAGCAGGGTTTGGGGGGATGGAGAGCAGAGGGGCAGGCTGGGATGGGCAGGGGGCCCTAGGGGCTGCAAAGCTGGGCGGTGGGGCAGGAGAGCAGGGACTGAGGGGGCAGAAGGGGATCCAGGCAGCTGTACCAGTCCTGAATGGTATTTCCCTTGGTCTCCTGCTGGCCCTGGGGGCGGCAGGTGAATCCCCTCAGACCTGCAGGGCATGGTGGTGGGTGCTGGGGCTCAGGGATTGTGCACACCCTGATGGCTCTCCGGGTTAGGCTTAGCAAGCTTGCCCCTTGGCGTGAGGGCAGAGCCAGGCGCTAGCAGCAGGGCCGGCTCCAGGGTTTTGGCTGCCCCAAGCAGCCAAACAAAAAAAACCAAAACAAAAGCCGTGATCGCGATCTGCGGCGGCAATTCGGCGGGAGTGAGGGACCGTCCGCCGAATTGCGGCCGAACAGCTGGACGTGCCGCCCCTCTCCGAAGTGGCCGCCCCAAGCACCTGCTTGGTAAGCTGGTGCCTGGAGCCGGCCCTGGCTAGCAGAGCAATGCCCTGGCAGGGGCACGGGTACCTTCTGAGCCACGCCCAGGGTGCACATCTCGTCATGCACATTCCCGCGCAGGAAGCTGATGAGCCCTTTGTTCTGAGTGAGCTTCTCCTCCGTCGAATGCGCAAAAAGCTTCTTCCCTTGCTCTAGAGGTAAACTGGGGATTTCAGTCAAAGGGCAGAACCAGGTCCCTCCCCGCGATGCGCCAGGCTCTGACAGGGCAGGCCTGGCACTGCATGCTCTGCTGCGAGTGGGTGGAACTCACCATCACATCATTGGTGCCCGTGGCGCGTCACTGAGGTGACCAGCTGAGGATCTGGCTCCACATTTACCCCCCCACCCCTTCTGGATATGATAATTCTATGAAAACATCTTGGGATTTCCATTGTAGAGGCCAAATTCTGCATCCCCAGCCAGCCACACGTTACTGCTGCAGAAGCCAGACAGCCCCGTGCACCCATAGTCTGACCTGTGGCAGCCCCCGCCCAGACCTTGGGCAGGTGACTCCCACTCTGGGGTGCCCCTCGATAGCTCCTGTCACCGAGGGCTGGCACAGCAGCCTCTCTGGGGGGTTTTGCAGGACCCAGACCTCCCTCTGCCCAGGGGATTTCTGGCATGTGTCCATAAGTGCCAGGCAGCCAGAATTTGGACCCATATTTCTAAAGGCTCACAATGCCCATCAGGCATCATTGAGGGCTATTGGTCACTAGACCTCCATGCCCACCCCCCTCTCCCAGCCCATCAATATCAGTGGGGTTTCCTTCTCCCCCATCTCATCTGAGCCCTCTCCGAAGCCTGCTGCAAACCCAGCTACAATCTCATTGGCCCTGCTGCCTAGGATTGCACTTGGCTCCTGGGTCCCGGCAGCTCAGAGGGCTCAGGAAGGCTTTCACTCCAGCCTGTCAGAGCCCGGCCAAGAGAGAGAGCATCACCTTGCAGTGAAATGATGGCACGCAGCTCCCGGATCTGCTGCTTGATATCCCTCTTCCTCTGGAACTTCATGGTGGCAGAACGAGGCAGAGAGTATCCTGTCAGGCACTCAAGACTTTGGGTCCCTGCCTGGAGACACTTCTAGCCCTCTCCTCTCACCAGCCACTGAGCAGGAGAGAGATCTGCCTTTTCTATTGTCCTTGTCCTGTGACATCAGGAGGATCTTTATGACTCAGTCATGCATCAGTGGGTTCTCAGTGGTGGCAGTTGGGTGTATGTGTTCTCTCTGCGTGCTGTCCCAGCCCTGCACAGGTAGCTGGCCCAGAAGACCTCGATAGCACTACCTACAAAGACCACACACTTGGTTTGGTGGCAAGGGCCCTTGCCCAGGTTTATTGTCGACCAAGCATGGTCCTAGCACCGTGGGTCCCTGGTTACAGGTACACTAGCACATGTATGCCTATGACAATGGACCAGCTCAGCCAGCAGCGGGACTTTCTGCAGCCCCCTCAGCTGGACACAGGTGCCCCTCCAGCGACTTCTCCTTCCATACATCAATACAAACAAGTTCATCCATCAGCCTGTCCTCCCATCCTTGTCTTACTTGGGGTCGTGTGTTCCTGTGCCAGCTCCCAGGATTGTGCTTATATTGCACCTCTGTGCTGGGGTGGACCTGAGCTTTCCTTCTGGAATGTGTTTATATGAATACCCAGGGCCTAGGACTTCCTGGGAGTGCCTGTGTTTCAGCAACGCTAGCTATGCCTTTGCCAAGTTCATGTGCAGGACAGTGAACTTCTAAGCAAGTGTCTGCTTTATGATGATTAGCAATCCCTCGATTAGAGGATGATCTATACCACAGATTTGTATATGGGTCCTGAGATGACTCAGGAGTCTGATCCTGGAACCGCAAATCCACCCGCAGTAGGTACAAACATTTTGTGGGAGGCCAGCGGTCTGCTGGGAGAAAGTTCTTTCTTTTTCCTTCCTCTTCTCTCTTTTCAGCTTCGAGGGCAAGGCGCTTCTACGCGAAGCGGGCCACTGCCTGATGGAGGATATGGCGCCATTGGGGTCGGTTGGTGGCTTGATCTTCCCAGGTTGTGATGTCCACATCAGTTTTCTTAAGATATGTTTTCAGTGTGTCTTTGTAGCATTTCCTCTGACCACCATGGGTGAGCTGAGAGTAGAGGACTTGTTTTGGGAGGCGAGAGTCTGGCATCCGCACACAATGTCCAGCCCAGCCAAGTTGGTGCTTGAGGATCATTGCGTCAATGCTGGTGACATTGGCTTCAGTGAAGGATGCTGGTGTTAGTGTGGTGATCTTGCCATTTGATGCAAAGGATCTTCCGGAGGCATCGTTAGTGATACCTCTCCAGCAGGGCCAGCTCCAGGCACCAGCAGAGCAAGCATATGCCTGGGGCGGCACATGCTAAGAGGCGGCATTCCGTCCATTCTTGGGTCCGGTCAGCTTTTGGGTTTTTTTTGCGCTTCCGCAGTTCGGGCGGCGGCAGTCCAAGCAGTTTTTTGTTTTGTTTTTTGCTTGGGGCAGCAAAAATGGTAGAGCTGGCCCTGCTCTCCAGACTCTTGCGATGCTGTCAAATGGTCACCCAGGTTTCGCATCCATAGAGGAGCGTAGGAACAACAACTGTCTTATAGACCTGGATCTTGGTGTCCTGCCTTAGGTCATGGTCCGTGAAAACGCGTCGGAGCAATTTCCCAAAGGAAGCACTTGCGCACTGGATCCTTTGCTGGATCTCACTCTTGATTTTTGCATTTTGAGAAAGTTGGCTACAGAGGTAGCAAAAGTGCTCAACTGTCTCCAAAGTCTGACCTTCAATGGTGATTTGTGGTGGGTCATGTGCAAGCCTGAAGCAGGTTGATAGAGCACTTTAGTTTTCCCAATATTGAGTGAGACTGGCTTCACTGGAAGTCTAAAGTCTTCAGGATGTTGGGATATCTATCTATCTATCTACATTGTGATTCATATATCCATGTAATATGTTATGTTATTCATTGAGGCCTGGTATGAATGACGCGTGCTTGACATGAATGTATGCGTTGCAAGTTAGCAACCGAAACAAGGACTTAAGGTCCAGGACTATTAGAACTCTTTGTACAAAAACAATCTTATGTTCTGAGAAAAATACGGAAAATCATCAGAAAAGGAAATAACACCAGCTGTACTGATATAAAATTGTATAAGAAATAGAGCAAATGGCATGCCTTGGATCATGGCAGCCTGCCCAGGATTGTCTCTTTGGAAGTGTGTGGGTAGAAGGCCTAGTAAACAAAGACAAAGAACCGAGGACGCGACGGAATGGACTATAAATGGTGCCTATGATTTCTGCAAATCAGAGTCATTTATTGATCCAGAGTCCCATGTGGATACAGATGTGGTTTTTGCCAGCTCCCCGTATCTTATGATCTTATCCTGACGGAAGGAAGCTCGACTGGCCATCAGGATCATTCTGACCTTTGTACTCTGGTATAGTATGTTTGGGGTGTGACTGTGGAGTGAGTAAGGTTTGTTTTGTAATCAATAAAGAACGTTTAGAGTATTATATACTAATACTGCATCCAGTATCTGCCTGCTCCCCATCCCGTAGGGAGACCTCTATTGCGGGTCTAACAAGAGCGTCCATTATTGATCTTCAATATGCTGATGATTGTGTCATCCTCGTGTACACTGACAATGACCTTCAGTCCATACTGGATTTTCTTGCAAAAGCTTACTGAAGCCTAAGACTCTCACTCTATATTGAGAGGACTAAAGCTTTATGATAGGGCCCAACTGGCTCACAGCCTGGCTTTTGCTGCGTTTGGTTCAGGCCTCAGGTCCTGCACCAGGACCAGTGCTCCAGGCTCTCTCTGTATGCCCCTCAGCAGTTTCTGCTGTCTCAGCACCACCTGCCTGTCATCAGAATTCCCTACCTCCAGAGGCGAGCATGGCAATGACAGGCTGGTAGCCTAACGTCAGTCCCAGGCAATTGGCTGAAGCTATAGAGAAGAACAGAATTCTAGGACACATAAATGAACATGATTTGTTGGGGAAGAGTTAACATGGCTTCTGTAAAGGGAAATCACGCCTCACCAATCTATTAGAATTCTCTGAGAGGGTCAACAGGCATGTAGACAAGGGTGACCCAAGTGGATATAGTGTATTTGGACTTTCAGAAAGACTTTGACAAGGTCCCTCACCAGAGGCTCTTAAGCAAAGTAAGCACTCAAGGGATAAGAGGGAAAGTCCTCTGCTGGATCAGTAACTGGTTAAAAGATAGGAAATAAGGGTAGGAATAAATGGTTAGTTTTCAGAATGGAGAGAAGTAAATAGCAGGGTCCCCCAAGGGTTTGTACTAGGCCCCGTGCTGTTCAACATATTCATAAATTATCTGGAAAAATGGGTAAACAGTGAAGTGGCAAAATTTGCAGATGATACTAAATTGCTCAAGATAGTTAGGTCCAAAGCAAACTGCGAAGAGTTACAAAGGGATCTCACAAAGCTGGGTGACTGGACAAGAAAATGGCAGATGAAATTCAATATTGATAAATGCAAAGTAATACATATTGGAGAACATAATCACAACTATACATACAAAATGATGGGGTCTAAATTAACTGCTACCACTCAAGAAAGAGACCTTGGAGTCATTGTGGATAGTTCTCTGAAAACATCCACTCAGTGAGCAGTGTCTGTGAAAAAAGATAACAGAATGTTAGGCACTATTAGGAAAGGGACAGTTAGTAAGACAAAAAATATCATAATGCCACTATATAAATGCATGGTACGCCCACACCTTGAATACTGCATGCAGTACTGGTCGCCCCATCTCAAAAAAGATATATTGGAATTGAAAAAGGTTCAGAAAGGGGCAACAAAAATGATTAGGGGTATGGAACGGCTGCCATATGAGGAGAGATTAATAAGACTGGGACTTTTCAGCTTGGAAAAGAGACGGTTAAGTGGGGATATGATAGAGGTCTATAAAATCATGACCGGTGTGGAGAAAGTGAATAAGGAAGTGTTATTTACTCCTTCACATAACACAAGAACTAGGGGTCACCAAAGGAAATTAATGCACAGCGGGTTTAAAACAAACACAAGGAAGTATTTCTTCACACAGCACACAGTCAACCTGTGGAACTTGGTGCCAGGGGATGTTGTGAAGGCCAAAAGTATAAGTGGGTTCAAAAAAGAACTAGGTAAGTTCATGGGGATAGGTCCATCAACAGCTATTAGCCAGAATGGTCAGGGGCACAACCCCATGCTCTGAGTGTCCCTAGCCTGTTTGCCAGAAGCTGGGAATGGACAACAGGGGATGTCACTCAATGATTGCCTGCTCTGTTCAGTCCCTCTGAAGCACCTGGCCCTGGCCACTGTCGGAAGACAGGATATTGAATTAGATGGACCTTTGGTCTGACCCAGCATGGCCGTTCTTATGTTCTTATCCCTGTCCCCCCAGGAAGCCCCTGCCTGTCCTCGTCCAGATTCTTTCATCTCCCGGAGCCTTTTTCCTACTACAAACAGCAAACCTTCCTAAGCTTCTAGTGTATAAAGCAGTGCACTGGCACTATTCCTGGTTCTGCCACTGACTTACTGTGTGCCTCAGTTTCCCCCGCTGTACAATGGGGTCATGATACCACCCTCCTGTGTAAAGCCCTTTGAGATGTATGGATGAAAAGCCCTGGAGAAGAGCTAGGTGGCATTATTACTCTGTTACCTGCTGCAGGTTTCCCTGCACACCAGTGATAAGTGTGGAGTGCGATATGCTCACAACACACGACTCTCAGCAGCTGTGATGCTGCTCATGCCCTCTGGTGTAAATCCCAAGCAGCAGAATACTGGCAGACGGCAAAGGGCCCATACAGATTTGGTCTCTGATTCTGGGAGAAGGGCCCTGTCACATTCTGTCTTGTCTGGCTCAGCGAGCAGCTCCGCTCCCTCAGAGTTAGCCCATCCTATGCACTCCTTTGATCTCTCCGCCTCTTACTTGGAGGCTTTGTGCATGCCCTTGGAACAGCCCCAAACCCCGATGCGCCAAGCTCCTTTCCTCTACTGCTTTGATGGGGCCATCCTA